TTTTGCTTATAGGACGCATGGTTCACTTAGACCAGGGGTAGGCAACCTTGGCTCTTTTATGACTCGTGGGCTTCAACTCCCAGAGCCAGCCACGCTGAAGGGAAAGGGAGTGGTTTCCAAGCTGAGCCATGCTGGCTCAGGAATCCTGGGAGTTGAAGTCCACGCGTCATAAAAGAGCCAAGGTTGCCTACCCCTGGCCTATAACAACAGAAGCAACAACAGTCGCACTGGACTTGTTTTCGTTTGTAATTTATAATGAAAGAAAAGGATTGGGTTTGTTTGTACTTTAAATTTTTAAAAATTCCAAATAAATGAGTAGGTTTGTGTATTCAACCTCTGCTACTTTCTCCAGGTCTAGATGCTAAGACGATCCAGCAAAATGCTCTCCCTCTTATAAAACCTAAGAAAATCAGTCCCGTTTTATCTGTGTGACCAAACCCAGAGGTGTCTACAGGGCATTGTCAGAAAAGTCAAGGTTTCTGACAGCCAGAAAGATGCGATTAAAGTTTCGCCCATTTTTAATGGTTGTCGAATATAAAAAGGGATAAAGATTCATTCCCACTGTCAGGGCCATCATCTTGACTCTTGTTTTTGACAGCATCCAATCTGGGTTGATCACCAGGATCAAAGGTTTTGTCTTCCGAGCTTTTGGACTGGAGCCCATCCTCAGGGAATTTCTTTGGGTTATTCTCTATGGCATTTGTATGGTGTCTGTTGTGTGTGGCTTTTTAGATGTAGATTGGGGCGTTGATGGCTGGCTGTTAAGTCTTCTGCTGTTATTTCCTTGTGCCGCCAAGCCCTTGCCTCCTAAGTACTTGACAAGCTGGGGATAAATCAGCAGGCCTGTTGATTGACATGGGGGCCCCCTTTCCAGTTTCAGTCACTTCCCTGGCTGTTTTTGTGCTTGCTCGTCCAACAATCATAGTAGCAGATTTATTTATTTTTTTGACAGCACTTTTTATTCTGGAAACAGCAGATCAAAGTCCTTAGTTTTCTTTCCTTCTCTCTAAAGATGTGGGTTAAAGAAAAAAGAAGATGGGAGTGATGGCCAATTCAGATTTCCCCCTTCCATTCCACCGGCCTAAGGATGCTTCCTAACCTGCTCCCAATTTCTGTATGCAAATTTTCATTAGATGGTTGATAGTTTTGAAGAAAGGCCTTTGTGCACAGTTGACAAAGCAAGGCAAGAATCAGGGGTCTGAGCGAGGGCAGGCTTCCTGCATCTTATATCTATTTTTCCAAAGGGCTGGAAATTGCTTGGGAGCGCCCAGACTCTAAGCTCTGTGGTTGTGTCACTGCGACTCAGCACCTTGCTGGGTTATCAAAAACAGCAAAGAGGTGCTATTCAATCTCTGCAGCCGTCTAAAAACTTGACTGGAGAGCCCAGTCCGGCTCAATCCTGAAAAACTGCCTCGTTATTGTAAGCAAAACTCAAAAAGTCAAAGCTGAAAATTAAATTCACTGCAAGGCGGGTTTTTTTGGCTGCCATTTTAGTCAGGGTTACAGGTGTGTTTCATTCAGGAGCGAGAAACGTACTGGATCTATTTTGAATCTGACTAGCCATTGAAGGAGGTTGCTGTAGGCAATGTCACTTAGTCATACATAACTATGAGAAATTTCCTCTTCCCATCCCAAAGGTGTTTTTTCAAGAGGCAGCTGGACTTTCTCGTTTTTTCCTTGAAGACGTTTCAATTCTCTCCAAGAAGCTTCTTCAGTTCTGATTGGATGGTGGGGAATCTTCCCATTTTATTTAAACCAGAATATGCCTAATTTTTCCCCCTTCAGCCCATTAAATCACAAGGAAGCAAAGAGTGAAGCAAGCAGAATGTGAATTTATTTCTATAAAAAGTTTATTCCCACATAAACCACAAAGCAAAGTCTCCTTAAGGCTTTATTTTCTAGAAGGACTTAAATATTTTGACTTTTCAAACGTAGCCCGGGAATTCCACTTGGTGCGTAAAATACAAAAAGGAAATACAGATCAAAGTGCATCAAAAAGGCTGGCTCAGAAAGAATTATTTTTTGCTTCAAAATATATTATTAAAAGATACTCCTATTGCTGTCCTAAGAAAATGTACATCTTTTCAAATATATTACTTAAAAAACACTTTTTAAGAGATTAACATACGTTTCTCAGAAATCTCTGATAAAAAAGATTAGCAACCTAGTCAACACTGGGTCTGCATCTCTTATTATTCTAGCCTGCAGAGTAAAATTAGTGACTCTACTTGTATCACCTTTTAACCTAGGGATCCTGGCTTGTTAAACTACAGTAACCAATATCACAATCTCATCCCTGAAACCTTTTCCACCGGTTATTTTTCTTCTCTACATTGGGGAAAAAATGTATAAAAAGACAATGTATTTTTCTAAATCATCAAGAGGGAGTAAAAAAATACAGTCAAGTAATTTGATATCGAGGTCATTTTGGAAAGAAAAAAAATGCAATTAAAAAAGGTTGGCAGATAAAATTCCAAACCTTTTCTGCAATTCCACTGAATAAAAACGGATCTACAAATATCAAATATACAAGCCCGGATAATTTTGATACTTTGTGTTGGCTACAGGAGGTTTACGACAATTTGCCAGGGCAAAACTTGCTGCAGGACAAGAGTTACAGTAATATCGAAGAAATGGTGTAATAGAAGCATTAAAAGATGCAAAAGGAGGGACAGAATGAAATGCGAATGGTAAAAATTATTTTTTTATTTATTTGAAATAATTAAATGGAATTGGTTAAATTGTCCCGCAGCGAACTGTGCCGTGTTGAGTTGGCTGTGGCAAGTTGTCCCATTCCCGGCTACATGTTCAAAAGATTGCCTCCTATGCATTAAAAGCGGTGTTTCTCAACCTTGGCGACTTTTCAGCTGGGTGGACTTCCAATTCCCAGAATTCCCCAGCCAGCATGCTACTGGCGTCATGAACAGTTTAAAGTTGGAAGTCCACACAGCTTAAAGATGGCTGGGGAATTCTGGGAGTTGAAGTCCCCACAGTTTCAAGTTGAGAAACACCTGGGCTAAGGAAACGGGATTCTTTATTTCAACCGATAAAAACATATTCCTGGATTGATAGAAGTTTACGTTGAAGGATACGCTGAATCACATTGAGGAAAAAAAGCAAGCTTTTTGGTTCCAAATGGTTAAGTCCAAGAGAAGAGGAAGAAAAAGGCAACTCCTGTAACAAGCTTATCAATTACACAGTGATGAACCGTATCCTATCGTTCATAAACACAAAGGCACCTCTACGTAAGACATAAGCAAAGAACCACAGGACTGGAAGGGACCTCTGGCTGGCTGGGGAATTCTGGGAGTTGAAGTCCACACGTCTTCAAGCTGTCAAGGTGGGTCATCCTTGGTTTAGAACAGTGGTTCTCAACCTTTTTAATGCCGCGACCCCAACCGGTCGTAAGTCGAGGACTAAACCAGTCGTAAGTCGAGGACTAAGCCGGTCGTAAGTCGAGGACTACCCAACCGGTCGTAAGTCGGGGACTTTCCCTGCCTGGGAGCGCCGCATATGCGTGGTTCCGCCCCCTGCGCCGGCCGAGGTGTAGCTGGCAAGCGGCAGAGATGGAGCAGGCCGACCACCAGCTGGCCCAGCCCAAGGGAGGTAAGGCACCCGCCGGAAAAGGGGGAAAAAATGGCGGACAAAAAAAATGGCGGACAAAAAAATGGCGGACAGCCTTGCTTGGCGACCCCCATGAAATGGTCGATCGACCCCAAATGGGGTCCCGACCCACAGGTTGAGAACCACTGGTTTAGAGAAACAACCACTGGTTTAGAGAAACAGCAGCATTCCCAAAGCTGGCTGGCTCCAAGGCCCATTTCTGTGGCCAAGCCACCCCGTGGGATGATGGAAGTTGTGGTCCAAAGATGTCCAGAGAACAAGTCCCCCCCCCTTTTTTTTGTCAGGAATGTGTGGAAGACAGGAAGGTATGTGTGGTGGAGGACAAATATATACTACAGGTAGTCCTCGGCTTACAATCACAATTGAGCCCAAAATTTCTATTGTTACGCAAGGCAATTAAGGGGTTTTGCCCCATTTTGCCTTTTTTCTGCCACAGTTAAGCGAATCGTCATTAACTGTGAAATGAATCATTCGGTTGTTAAGCGAATCGCACTTCCCCCATTGACTTGGCTTGTCAGACGCTGGTTGGGAAGGCTGCAAATGGTGATCACATGACCAAGAAGAAAGAGTGCAATGGTCATAAATACAGGCCAGTTGCCAAATGCCAGAATTTGGATCACGTCACCATGGGAATACTGCAACGGTCGTTAAGCGTGAAAACCTGTCACTTTATTCAGTGCCTTGTAAATGCTAACAGTCACTAAATCCATGGTCGACTACCTGTAAACATTTTGGGATGAGGTTTCTGAATGTTGAAAGACAGGAGGAATCCTCAAAAAAAAATAATATTCATTTCCTGTCTCTCAAAATCATCCGTTCGTGCTTCTACATCAGGGGACCTTCAAACTTGGCCAATTTAAGACTTGTGGACTTCAACTCCCAGAATTCCTCAGCCAGCGTACATGCTGGCTGAGGAATTCTGGGAGTTGAAGTCCACGTACGCTCGCTGAGGAATTATAATAATAATAATGATAACGTTGGAAGGGACCTTGGAGGTCATCTAGTCCAACCTCCTGCTCAGGCAGGAAACCTTACACCATTGAAGTCCACAAGTCTTAAATTGGCCAAGTTTGAAGACCCCTGTTCTACAAGCATTTCAACTATGAAGATGCTGCTGTCTAGTGCTATGGAAGCATTCGAGAGATGGACATCTCTGGGGACCAACTTGGACCTTCTCTCCATCACTTGATGGGACAAAATATTTCCATACCAGTATGGAAGCTCCCCCTGTCCCAGACCCCTTTTAGGCCACTGGTTCCAATTAAGGCAATAGGGAAAAATGGCAACCGATTGCCGAGCGATGGAGCCAAACGTCTACAGTGAGAAACAGTGGCATCTCCCGAGGTTTCTGCTCCATGGAAAAGAAACATTTTTGATCACAGCAACATAACACTTTCCGTCTGATTCGAGTCCCAGGCGGTCTCGGCGGGATCGTCGACCTCCCAAGCTGCTGGCAGACCCCGGTCTTTGGTCCCCCCATTTCTCTCTTCCAGGGGGATAGAGATATACTGTCCGTGTTTGTGACGCTTGTTGGTGCCGCTGCGCAGAGCCAGTATGACGTTCATCAACACGCTGAGCAGGAGAAGCAAACCAAGGCTTATTGTGATCCAGGCTTTCCTAGAAGAACAATCCACGACTCATGAGCGAGGGCAGAGAGAGCTTTAAAGGTGCCACCCATCAAGCTACGGATCGAAATTTTTGCACTTTTATTTCCCTCCAACAGCTCTTCTGTGGGAGGCTGGGAAAAAGCGCCAAGAACTTGCAAGGGCTTTTATCAGCAAGCAAAAGTGTGTAACTTACTCGGAGAAAAGGAACTCTTCCTTTGAGGTAGCATGTAGCAGGCACGGCTCAGCTAAAAAGGGGAGGAAAAAAGAAACAAACCAGATCAGGGTCCCCATTTCCTGGTCCAGAACCGAGCCACAAAAAAATATGGATCTGGAGAACGAGTGAAGCTCTCTTTCGGTGGGGATCTAAATCGATCCTCCGTCCAGCTTTCGCGAGAGCATATTCGCTGGTACAAAAGTGATCCGTTTGGGCTCCAGCAAAGGGATTCCTCGACGTACGATTACAATTGGGACCTGTTGCTAAGCCAGGCGGTTGTTAAGTGAATCATATCTGATTTTACAACCTTTTGTAAGTGAATCACTGCAATTGTTAAGCGAGTCACGTGGTTATGAAGCGAATCCAGCTTCACCCATTGACCTCATCGGAAATCAACTGTGAAGGTCGTAAAGGGCGACCAAATGACCAGGGACACGGCAACGGTTGTAAATACACGCAGGCTGCCAAGGGCCCCAATTGTGATTGTGTGACTGTGGGAATGCTGGAATGGGCATTAAGTGTGAGGACTACGTGCTGTTGTAACTTCAGACAGGCGCTAAATGGAGCAAACATAAATGTAAATAAAGGCCTACTTGGGGTAGGTAAAGGCTGGTTCTAAATTACCTTTTTTCAGTGACGTCGCCAGTCTGAATGGTCCTAAACAAACAGTTGTAAGTCGAGGACCGCCTGCTCTTATTGCTAGGACAGTTTTCAAAATATACACATGAACTTGCCCTCGTGATCCTAAAGACCGTTGTGTTAACTTTGCATCCAAACCTAAACTTTGCTCATCCTTGAGTGGCAACAATCCTCCCAGGAGCCCAGCAGAGAAAATTGCAAACCAAGAGACTTTTGATCTGGAGAGGCCAGCAATTTGAGTTGGATCCTCAAGTAGTTAAAAAACAGTTTTTTCCCCCAAGGACTACCTCTACAGTCAGGACCCCCAAAAGCATGTACCTCTCGATAACTCACCCAGGATGGTGGAGTCTAGAGAAATATTGCAACTGCCCGTCCTCCGATCACAGTAACACTGGTTTGGGCACTGACAGGTCTGCTGACAGTTGGGTCCGAATCGTCCGAGAGGACAGGCTGCAAAATAATGAAAGAAACAGGCGTTGTACCCCACAGATCAGCAAGAAGCCAGGATAAAGGAGTTGGAAGAAACATATCCCAACAGATCAGCAAGAAGCCAGGATAAAGGAGTTGGAAGAAACAGGCCTTATATCCCCACAGACCAGCAAGAAGCCAGGATAAAGGAGTTGGAAGAAACAGACCTTATATTCCCACAGACCAGCAAGAAGCCAGGATAAAGGAATTGGAAGAAACAGGCATTAAATCCCCATAGATCAGCAAGAAGCCAGGATAAAGGAATTGGAAGAAACAGGCATTAAATCCCCATAGACCAGCAAGAAGCCAGGATAAAGGAGTTGGAAGAAACAGACCTTATATCCCCGCAGACCAGCAAGAAGCCAGGATAAAGGAGTTGGAAGTCAAATTCAGCCTGCCTTAAGATGTTGTCCTCAGTACGGGTAGCCTTTGACTTATAACCATTTATTTAGTGACCATTCAGAGTTACAACGGCACTGGAAAAAGTAACTAATGACTGTTTTCCACACTTACAACCATTGCAGCATCCCCAGGGTCATGTGATCAAAATTTGGACGCTTGCCAGCTGGTTCTTATTTATGACAGTTGCAGTGTCCTGGGGTCACATGGTCACCTTTGGAGGACCTTCTGACAAGCAACTTCAAAGGGAAAATCAGACTCACTTAACCACCGTGTTGCTAATTTAACAACTGCGGCGATTGCCCTAACAACGGTGACAAGAAAGGTCATAAACTGGAACAAAGCTCACTTAACAACTGTCTTGCTTAGCAACAGAAATCTGGGACTCAGTGGTGGTTGTTAAGTTGAGGACCCCCTGTAACTTCAACCTTCTACATTTATGGATTAGCCTGAGCCCCGTTACTTGTACTAGTATTAAGCCACAGATTTTGTGGGGAGCCACAGAACCCGGGTCCAAATCCCTCACCTTCTTCGCAGAAGATCCCTTGGAAGCCCGCTGGGCAAGTGCAGGATCCGTGCACAGGGTCACATGTGCCATTGTGGCGGCAGAGGCATTTCTGAGCACAGCCGTCCCCGTAGGTACCGCTGGTGCAAGCTAAAGGAAGGGAAAGGTGTGATCAGAATGGTGGGTGGCAAGCAGAATTGATGGCACTCGTTAGTCGCAACACACACACACATACACACAGGATTTTGAAAGAATGTAGGATGGTGCTTAAGGTTGCCATTTTGCTTGGCAGTTTCTCTTATCCGAAAGAAGGGCAGCTCTGTAGCTCAGGGTTGAACTGTGGAGATTTTGATGTTCTCTGAGCCTGGTTCTTTTTCTTGCAGACATTTCATTACCCAACTAGGTAACATCATCAGTGGTAGATGGGAGTGAGGCTTTCTTTCAGTTTATGTACAGTAGCTTCCCCATCCAGGGTTGCCTAATAATTTTAAAGTTAGCTCTAAACCAAAGGGAGTCACATAATACTTGGCCTACCTCACAAGAGATTTACATTCCATGCTTTAAAAATATATAAATGTTTGACTGGATAAGCAAAAAAAATATATATCAATTTTCTTCATGCTATGCATGATATTGAAGAATCAAGTCTCTCTTAGTTGCCTTTTTTGAAAGCTCAAGAGAGAAGGAGTTGCAGTTCCCCATTCAGTTCTGTTATACTCTTCTGCCTTCTTCCAGCTCTTCTCATTTGCCAAATATGAAAGCTTGAATTGTAGACCCTCTTTCAGAGGTGGATAGACTCTACAGCAGGGTCTCCAACCTTGGCAACTTTAAAGACTTGTGGACTTCAGCTCCCAGAATTCCTCAGCCTTCCATAGAGTTGTGGAAGGGCATCACCCTGTTGGCCATTCTCCTTTTAATCCACTTCCCTTCTGCATCAGGGAATTCAGTTCTGTTATTCCTATTGCCCTGAGCAAAGAGAGACACATCAATCCAGCAAAACAAATCAACACCAAGATGGTTAAGTAAGAAAGAGGATTACCTTGGGTGCAGTTTTCACCCGTCCAACCAGCATCACAGACACATCCCACTGGAATAAAGGCAGCGACAAAGGAGAAATTGTGAACTTATGTAGTAAGATCAGAGGACGGGAAGGGATTTGGGACAGGATTAGAACCAGAATCTGATCCAGGTCAAGGAGGACAGCCTCAAAATCAAGGGTGCCGATTTGCAACGAGCAAAGGGCCCCCTTTACTCAAGGCAAACCCCACCCAGCCCCCAAGGGAGATCCGTTTGCACCCGGATCCTTTCAAAGGCGGAGCCTTACTCTCCGTGCACATTCCGTGGAGAGTGCAGTTGGAAGGGCCACAGTCCAGCACATCGCAGGCTGGCCCGCTCCAGAAGGCTCCATGGCAGTGGCAATGTCCAAGCACGCAGTGCCCCTGCCCGCTGCAGTTTTGAGGTTGGCAGGCAGGCTCGTGCACGCACAGGACGGTTGAAACGCTCCGAGGGCAGCGCCAGGTAGAGTCAAACACGCTGGGAAGAAAGATGAGAGAAAGCCGGATGGAATTAAAGACCCAGCTGCACCCCCTTATCTTCAGGCTCAGCCTGTGGCAGGCGCCTGTGTTGTTTATGTATTTAATTTATATTGCCATATAACTCAGGAGCCGTGGTGGCGCAGTGGTTAGAATGCAGTTTTGCAGGCTGACTCTGCCAACTGCCAGCAGTTCGATCCTGTAAAGCACTGTGAAGCGGAATATAAATATCTTCCTTCCTTCCTTCCTTCCTTCCTTCCCAGTAGTTAGAATGCAGTATTGCAGGCTGACTCTGCCAAGTGCCAGCAGTTCGATCTTGTAAAGCACTGTGAAGCAGAATATAAATATCTTCCTTCCTTCCCAGTAGTTAGAATGCAGGATTGCAGGCTGAGTGTGCCCACAGTCAGAAGTTCGATCCTAACCGGCTCAAGGTTGACTCAGCTTTGCATCCTTCCGAGGTCAGTAAAATAAGGAACCAGATTGTTGGGGGGCAAAAGGCTGACTCCGTTAACTGCTTAGAGAGAGCTATAAAGCACTGTGAAGCGGTATATAAGTCTAAGAGCTACTGCTAACTCACATCCATAACGCTAGGTGGCTAACGAGATTAAAAATAATGAAACGTACACAAAAAAATATATAAAATTCACAGCAGAAAAAATGACAAATCCACAATGGAACATGCAATGCAAACTGAGCCACTAATAACCAGAGAGCTCCTTGGGAGAGGAGAGTTATTTAATTATTATTTTGGGAACTTGTGGGGAATGGGGTCAAGGGCAAAATGGACATTTCCTCACCAAATTGTGTCCTTGGTGAGGAAATGGCTGCACCATTATTGTGCAGCCATTACCATGAAGCGCGAAGCTTACTGTGGCTCTCGGCCAGGGAAAAATGTGCAGTCCAAACACCGGGCAATCAGGCTATTCCAGAAAAACCACAGCAGAGAATGCTCACCAGTGATCCGAAGGGTAGCTAGCAAGGGTTCCGTTGACGACGAAAGTAGCTGATCCTCCACCGTCCAGGTTGATTGCATTCACCACGCCGCGCTCCTTCAGAAAATCTGCCATTTCCCAGAGGTTCAGGCTGCAGTTGCAAGAAACAGAGATGGTTATCTCTGCCACAAAGAAGAGGGAGGTCAAGCTATTCTCCAAAGCCCCTGAAGGCCGGACAAGAAGCAACGGATGGAAACTAATCAAGGAGAGAAGCAACCTAGAACTAAGGAGAAACTTCCTGACAGTTAGAACAATGAACCAGTGGAACAACCTGCCTCCAGAAGTTGTGAATGCTCCAACACTGGAAGTTTTTAAGAAGAGACTGGACAGCCACTTGTCTGAAATGGTATAGGGTTTCCTGCCTGAGCAGGGGATTGGACTAGATGACCTCCAAGGTCCCTTCCAACTTTATTATTATTATTATTATTATTATTATTATTATTATTATTAGCTGATCAGAGGAAGAAAAAAAACAGCTGTTGGCTATACTACTCCAATTAAGAAATGAGCTGAGTCCTGTTACCTAACACTGCAATTTAGTCAACAAATCAACTCTTGGCTTAATGTGATGGTCCAACTCAAAGACACACCATCAACGTTCCTTTCTTTTCTCAGCAACTGGGATGCAGAAGACACTTCCCTCCAGAAAGATCTGGAATCTCCTTGCAAGGAAGCGTCACAAAGCTACAGGACATACCCTCTGACGCCCGTCTGCCCGTCAGCGTGAAACAACACGAGCTGCCCTTGTCGGTCGTGCCCCACGGCCGTCCTGGCAGACACAGTATTGACAAAACCGTCAAAGGTCCCTGCCAGGGGAAAAGAGACATGTTTCAAGCAGCCAAGATAAAGTTGGGTGGGTTGAGCCAAACGTCTCCCTACCGCAGGATGATTTTACGTGACAACAATCTGGCAGGACTGCTACCATCATGGAACTACCTGAAAGATCTGGAGGACATCAGGTCAAAACCTAAATTGATGGGTGGAGAAGGAAGGGAAAAACTAAGCTAAGCCAACCTCTGATACTATAGGTAATTCTCAACTTATAACCACAATTGGGACCAGAATCTCCCTCGCTAAGCAAGGCAGTTGTTAAATGTTAAATACCCAATTTTACAAGCTTTTTTGCCATTGGCCGTTGTTAAGTAAATCATACGGGCACTAAGCGAATCCAGCTTCTCCCATTGACTTTGCTTGTTGGAAGCTCACTAGGGGACATTGCAACCGTTGTAAATACAGGCTAGTTGCCAAGCAACTGGGGTCACATGATAGGGAGATGCTGACAGTCACGAGTGGAAGGAGCAGTTGCAAGTAATTTTTGTTCCGTGAAACTGTAATTCAAATGGTCACTAAACAAACGGTTGCAAGTCAAGGACTATCTGTATTCCTTCCATTCCTCATTTTGGTACAGACAAACCTGGGGGGGGGAATGTCATCCTGGAGAGCAACTGTGAGGCGGGGCTTTATTTTAAGGGAGGGGCCCGGCCCACAACCATTTTCCTTGCCACACAACAAGCCTCTAACCATCTGAACTCATTTTTTTTTCAATGGAAAGGTGATGCTCATTGCAAGGCCTACAATCTTTATCATGCTCCTAGGTGCTATAATTATTCTTGGGAAATGAAATTAACAGGTTGTTGCATCCTAACCTAGTGAAAACAAGGCACCTTCTCAACTGAATGAACAAAAAGACCACACTAAAGCAGGTGGCCAAACCCCCCCAAAAAAACATCTTGCAAGAATTGGGTGGGAAAAGCAACGTCACTAATTGTCCTTGGACAACGGGGAATTCTAAGATTGGCCAAGTCCATCCCAGCAGCCGTTTTGTGAATTTACCAAGAAGACCAGGGATCTCCAAACTTGGTAACTTTAAGGATTGTGGACTTAAAACTCCCAGAATTCCTCAGCCAGCCGGAATTCTGGGAGTTAAAGTCCACAAGTCTTAAAGTTGCTAAGTTTGGAAACCCTGAACAGGACCATCTCAATCTCTTTCCAAAGTTGCCAGTCTCACTTGGTCAAAGAAGAGTGCAAGATTGGAAGACAGAGAGATCTGGCCCATGGAATCGCCAAGAGTCAGAACGACTGGATAACATCATCATCAACATTATTATGCGATTTTTATATATTTTATATGCAGCCCAAGACAATTCCTCTTCACTCAGCCCTAACCCTGGCAAGTCAAAAGGTTGGATATCCATGGTTTAGAACAGAGGTCCCCAACTTTTTGGGTACCAGGGACCAGTTCCGTGGAGAGAGGTTTTTTCTGCGGACCGGAGGGTGCATGGTTTTGTGTGCTGCCTGCATCCCGCGGATGGGGCTTGTTTGTGTGGAGTGGTTGCTGGCATGCCACGGCCCAGTATCGGTCCTCAGACGGGAGGTTGGGGACCCCTGATTTAGAGCCATTCTCCCGCAGCTCTGGGGGCAAGGGCTGTGGCATCACCTGTTTCCTGAGTCTTGTCGCATTCTGCCATTTGGCTCTGATTCACGTAGACCTCTCCGTCTCGCAGAAGCCAACCCACCCCGCTTATAAGCTGCACAAATGGGTTTTCTGTAGCAAAGACTTCTTCCTCAGAGAGGTAGCTGGAAGAGATAATCAAAAAGAAAAAAAACCCTAGATTAAAAATTCCAGAGAAGCCCAAACGGTTACAGGCAATCCTTGTTTAGTGACTGCTTCATTAGTGACTATTACCAAATTACAGTTTTACTATTTACAATTGGACCCGGAAATCCAGTTGTAAACCGTTGCAGTCATAAGTTGAGGTACCCACATGACAAGACCCTGGTTTTTTTTCAACCTTTTTGAGAGTGGATATTAAATAAATCACTATGGTTATTAAGTAAATCCAGGGCTTTTTTTCAGCCGGAACGCGGCGGAACCGCGTTCCGGCACCTTTTTCCGGGCCAGCCGCACCGGAAATAGCCCCTCCCAAATTTTACTTGCATTCCTGTTCTCTAAAGGGGCGGTCCTAGGGTTTGATGAGGGCGTGGCCAGGTTTGAGTTCCGCCACCTTTTCTCCGAGAAAAAAAGCCCTGAGTAAATCGCATGGTTCTTAAGTGAATCCATTCTTCTGGAAGCCAGCAGAAAAACTGCCAGAAATGAGGAAAAAAAATATTGCAGATTGTGTTTGTGTGACTGCAGGACCCAGCAAAGGGCAAGTGTCTGAAATGCGGTCAGGCTGGCAATATTTTATGAAGGCCAAAAGTCCTTTATGGACCATAAATCACCCGTTTCAAGGCCACTGAAATGCCAAGCGGTCATAAAAAAGAAGATTGTAAGTCAAAGACTTGTACAACAGTGATGAAAAAGTAACAAATCATACGCATAGTCACAGTTTCACTTAACAATTGCTTCCTTAAAGAATCCAGATGCCAGTCTCAATTGTGGTCACTAAACAAGGAGTTAAGTTAAGCTGGGACATGACCATTGAAATAAAGACAAGGATAGAAAAAGCCCACACAGCATTCTTCAAAATGAAAAAGGTCTTCTGCAGTCACCACATAAGCCTAAAACTGAAAATCAGGCTTGTCAGATGCTATATTTTTTTCTACCCTGCTCTATGGAGTGGAGAATTGGTCTCTGACAGAAGGCCACCTGAAGAGACTAGAAGCATTTGAAATGTGGATTTACAGGCGGCTGTTACGTATAAGCTGGGTTGACAAGATCAGAAATGAGGTGATAAGCCGCCTGGGAAAGCCAAGGGAAATCATCAAAACAATTAAAAAACGAAAATTAGAATATTTCGGACACGTGATGCGACACCCAGAAAAATATGGCATACTCCATTTAATCCTCCAGGGAAAGATTGAAGGCCAACGAGGTCCAGGCAGAAGAAGAACATCGTGGCTTCAAAATCTAATGGACTGGTTTGGACAAAACTCAGCAGCACTTTTTTGTGCGGCTGCTGATAAAAACAGGATCGCCAACGTCCGATAACGGATATGGCACAAGAAGAAGAAGAAAACAAAGAGTTGCAGTTGTAAAACAACAAAACAAAACTATGCCAACACTTACCCAAAGACTAAAGTGCCATCTTTCCGGATTCCAAACTGAGCATTCTGTACTCCGCCAGAGGACTGTACCAGCTGCCCGTTGCTGACCACGTTCCCTAAGCACGCTCCAGTGTTTGTATCAAAATACCCCCCATTCTGGGCCACAAGGCACTGACGTCGGCTCACTGTCTCTTCCACGGTGGCTCTGTGGTGGAAATGGCAGCCCCTCGGCCCCCCAGGCTCTAGGACAGAAAAAGTCCTCAGGGGGTCTCGCACAACCGTCAAGTGGCCGTACACCCGGCGGCGATTGGAACGGTGCGGTGGGATGTCTGAAACAAATGTATATATAACAGGCAGAGGGGAGGTAGTGCTGTTGTGGCTGGGCCAGGTTTCATGGGTCGCATTGCCACGCAGGAGACCCTGGCAGTCTCGGACGTACCGATGGTGGTGCCGGGGGCCATGCTGAGGAAGGAGATACGGCAGCAAGAGGTCATCGTTCAAAGAATTCCTGAAAGTTGAAAGGCAACAGGGCAGGTTCGGATAGAAGAAAACTGAGGGAAATCTTTATTTGATAAGTCCTCTCCAGGTGAGTACAGGTACGATCACAACTGCGTCCAAAATTTCCATTGCTAAGTAAGACAGCTGATCAGTGAGTTTTTCTCCCCATTTTATGATCTTTCTTGCCACAGTTGCTAAGTGAATCACTGCAGTTTTTTTTAATAAATATTTTATTAGGTTTTATATAGGTAAGGAAAAGATAGGGTCAACAGGGGTATGAGGGCAGTGGGAATAGGAATTTGGGGTAGGAAAGGGGTAGATAGAATGATGGGGTAACCCCCATAATAATCCCAAGCTTTAACAAACAAGCTACCGTCCGGATCTAAATATTAAGTAAACATGATTTGTATAATACTAAAGAATTATAAAGGTAAAGTTAACTATAGTCGTATAACTAAAATTAGGAAGGTAAATAAAATTCCTCTAAATAAATATTCATACTTAATAACATATCACCAAATTCTAGTCATCACCATTAATATTTAAAATCACTAATAGTAAAGCTATTATTAATCTAAGAAATAACACTTAAGAGTCTATCATTTATTCTATTCAATTTTAAAATTCAATTCAATTTTAAGTTCTGATCGTATTCTAGCGTATTTCTAACCATCGATAAAATTTTTCCCAAGTTTTGAAATAAATTGAATCTTCTTTCTCCTTCATCTCCAAAGTTAATCTATCCATTTCGAATCACTGCAGTTTTTAACGGTTGTTAAATTAGTAACAGGGTTGTTCAATGAATTTGGCTTTCCCCATTGACTTTGCTCGTCCAAAGGTTGCAAAAGGGGATCACGTGACCCCGGGACACTGCGACCATTTGCCAAGTGTCCTAAGTTGGATCACGGGGAGGCTGCAATGCTTGTAAGTCACTTTTTCAGTGCCGTTGTAACTTCGCACAGTCACAAAACAAAAAGTTGTAAGCCAAGCACTACTTGTAGCAAGTAAAGCATAATAAACAAGTTTTGGATTTGTCTTCCTTTTCACCCTCCAGACTGAAAATCCATCTTTTTTTTTAACTGGCTTATTCTATTCATTGTTGTTATATAGAAAGCGAATTTTGTGCAGTGATTACAGGACTGGACTAGAAACTAAGAAACTGCCAGTCCTCCTTTAGGCATGACAACCTGCTGGGTGCCTCTCTCAGTCCAGTCTACATCATAAGGAGAAGATAGGATGTTGGAGAATTATATATGCTGTTGTAGAATAATCACAAAACAAAGCTGTGCTATAAAACTAATTAATAAAGAAAATACATAAACAGTCATCAAACTTTATAATCACGGAGACACATCTTATACCCAATGTGTATCATAGTGTTATTATTACGACATATATTATACACACACACATAGACCAGAAAAACCGGTTTTAAAATAACTATGTAGCTCAAACACTTCTCTGCGGGGCAAAATACTGACATCCTGCAAAGATATTTTTTTTAATTATACTTTTAGGGCTTACATCGCCTTATTTTTCAGCACGGAAAAACGACCTTTTAATGCTAATTGCATCAGGCGGAAGAGGGAAAAAAAAAACGCCAGCCCTGCTAGGTGGGCCCCCTTTCCCCTCTCCTGGCTCGCCCTCCTTACCAGGCTCCGGCGCTGCCGTGAACTCCCCCAAAGCAGTGAAGCAGCCCCCCCAAAAACGCGGCCAGGGCAAAACCTCCGAGCCCGCTGCCTGAGATGTGCGACAGCCGATTCATGGGGGCCGCCATATTGAGCCGAAAGGCGGGTCACATGATCTGAGGTCACGTGAGGCTCGGGGACCCTTGTCCTTCCCGGGCGGAGGAAGGCATGGGCGTTTGGGTTTGCCCTCTGGTGGCCAGCGGGGAGAACTACAAGGCTTGAATAGGGGAAACCCTAGAAATGATCAAATGTGTCGGTTCCAAGGCTGCTTTTCTAAAAGACAACTGGGCTTTTCTTTGTTTTTGTTCGAAAACGTTTCATTTCTCATTCAATAAGCTTCTTCAGTTCCTCATTTAGAACTGAAGAAGCTTCTACGGATTTTTGGGATAGATAATGAGCTCTTCTAAACGTTTATTGATTAATGAAATTCATATGTAGCAATATAAATGAAAATTTGTTTTAGAAATGTATTAATGAGATTATAATATATCTTAAATAAATGGAGAGTTTCAGTTTAAGTTTAAATATGTGAGAAATTATAGATTTGTATAGAATAGACACTGAGCGGTTGAAAGTTTTGATTGATTAAGAGAATTTGTATTTAAATACATTAATGAATGATTTTATTCGAATCAATTTGATTATAATCTATATAAATAAAAATGTAAATGTTCGTTTGTTCAAAATCTTAAATCTCCGAACGTTCTTCACCAATTGCTTTGAAATTTTAACACAACATTGCATTCGAATACGCACGTGTTTTTATATAACTACTATTATATAGATGTCACACCTGTGACAGGTAAAAACATATTACAAACGTGCGCTTTCTCTTTTCTTTCTTTTCCATTTAACCAGACTGAGCCACAGCAACGCATGGCCGGGTACAGCTAGTATTATATATAGATAGAGAGGGAAATTTTAAGAAATATTGTGTGAACTGTATATTTATAATGCTATTGTTTTCTTTTTGTAATTGATCACCATATCTCCACGTTGGTTCTTAAGCTTCTGTTGGTGCAAAATGGAAAACTAATAAAAATTGTTTAAAAAAAAAAAGAACTGAAGAAGCTTTTTGAATAAGAAACGAAACGTTTTCAAAGAAAACACCAAGAAAGTCCAGTTGCCTTTTGGAAAAGCATCTTTGGGATAACCGTCACCGGGACGATTGAGAATCTCCATAGACATTCAGACAGTCAGACATGCAGGGTTTCTCAATTTGGCCACTTTAAGAAGTGGGGACTTCAACTCCCATAATTCCCCAGCTGGTCCATTCTGAGATTTGAAGTCCATACACCTTTAAAAGGTGCCAAGGTTGACGAAGACTCGTCTGTCGAAGCAAAATCACAAAACGGCATCTCACTTTGGCCGTATCTTGTGGGGGAATTTACTGGAGAAAGGGATTATGTTTGGAAGAGTCTGCAGTAAAAGGAAACCAGGATGCCAAAGACCATGATGGCTGGACACCATCAAAGCTGACCGCAGCCGAGCATAGAACAACTCAAAGAAGTACAGGTATTCCTTGACTTAACAACAGTTCATTTAGTGACCATGCAAAATTACAACGGCACTGAAAAAAGTGACTTATGGCCATTTTTCACAGTTACGACCTTTGAAGCATCCCCATGATCATGTGATCAAGATTCGGATGCTTGGCAACTGGTTCATATTTATGACCGTCGCTGTGTCCCGAGGTCATGGGTGATCCCCTTTTGTAATCTTCCGACAAGCAAAGTCAATAGGGAGGCCAGATTCTCTTAACAACTGTAAGGTCCCCCAGTCCCTTACTTGAACTTGAGATACCATATCAATCTAATCAGATAACCCAAGCGGAGACTTCTTGATCAAGCAGCACTTTATTTGGTCAAATTAAGCAGCTGGGTGGCCAACGATTTGGAATGCTGGCAGAGTTATGTCCAGAAGTGCCACACCTTAGAAAGTTGGTGGCGTTGCTTTATAAACTTTGTTAGCCCATGAAAATCAGACAACAGAGCCATTACATCATAAGGAAGACATCAATCATTCCTGTACACTCCCTTATTCCTTCCTTCAGTACATCCCATCCGTGTACGTGTTTTTCCACGCTTGCATGAAATTTCCCTGGTGCAAAAGCCGGTTACAAAAAGCAAGGAAGCAACAGTTAGACCAGTGGTTCTCAACCTTTTTAATGCCGCGACCCCAACCGGTCGTAAGTTGAGGACTAAACCGGTCGTAAGTTGAGGACTAAACCGGTCGTAAGTCGAGGACTACCCAACCGGTCGTAAGTCAAGGACTTTCCCTGCCCGGGAGCGCCACGCATGCGTGGTTCCGCCCCCTGCGCCGGCCGAGGCGTAGCTGGCAAGTGGCAGAGATGAAGCAGGCCGACCACCAGCTGGCCCAGCCCAAGGGAGGTAAGGCACCCGCTGGAAAAGGGGGGGAGAAAATGGACAAAAAAAATGGTGGACAGCCTTGCTTGGCGACCCCCATGAAATGGTCGATCGACCCCAAATGGGGTCCCGACCCACAGGTTGAGAACCACTGCGTTAGACTAAACAATTTCCCTTTGTTCCAGAACCTTTCACAACCAGATTACTAACTTTCCAACTGCAGTGATTCACTTAACAACTGTGGTAAGAAAGCTCGTAAAATGAGGCAAAAACTCACTTAACAAAGGTCTCACTTAAAATAAGACATCCGGGGCTCAATTGTGGTCGTACGTCAAGAACTACCTGTGGTGCAAGATGGGAAAATGTGGAGAGACGTGACCCTATGAGTGGCTAAGAGTTGGACATGACTGAATGGATGACATTGTCGTCACCATGATGTCTGTAGAGCATTGTTTTTCAGCATTGACCGCTTAAGATGTGTGAACTTCAACAACAAATTTAATAAATAAATGACTAAAAGCTTCCCAGAATTCCCCAGCTAGCATGGGAGTTACTGGGCGTAGATGACAATAGTTAATACCTTTTGGTGCCATTTCGCTTTCTTCGGCTTGTCTCCATCGTGCTCTTTTTAAATAAGCTGATCTAAGGGCCTGAGCTGTTGTGGCTCCGTCTTGTGAGCCCCTCTTATCGGAGGAAGAAGGCTCCGAACATGAAGGAGAGGAGATGACCAGGCCTCTCTCTCCAGGACCCTCCTCTCTGGCAATGCCTCAGGTGTCTTCCGACGGAGAAGAGATTGACCAGGAGCCAGGTGGTTCTGAGATTGGCCAGGAGCCAGGTGTTTCTGAGATTGGCCAGGAGCCAGGTGTGTCGGATAATGAGGAGGAGAAGTTGTGGCTGGATCCATGCCAGCATAGGAGCGATAAGCGTGCACAGCAGAAAAAGAGACGTGCCAGAGATTAAGCTGAGTCACTGGACCACACCCCACAGGCTATAAAAGGGTGGTGGTGGCCATTTGGACCTCTGTGATGGACAAAAGCTGAATCTCTGGCAAAGTAGTGTGCTGTGGCATTCAACTGTGTGTATTGTTTTTGTTTCTGTGTGTTTGGAGTAAAGGTCTTGGCAGGCAGCTACGGAGCTGCTGCCAAGTTTCTTATCTGTGAAGTGGTGTCTGGAGAAGTCTTTAAACCCTCGGCTGGCTGTTTGGGTGTGTGGTCGGAACGGGGACAGAACACTGAGGTATGCAGCTCATTCAGTTGCCCTGGGATGGTGTGGCAGTGGGGAAGTTAATTCTGAAGGGATCTAAGAGCTCAGCCTCCTTGGTGTCTATTTTGCTTCAGTCTCCTAAGTGCTGATCCTTCAGGTTTTGGGGTGGTTTTTTTTGGGGAAAGGACGCTATGGTAACTTCATTAAAAATCAACTTCTAACTTTCAGTAAAGCTTTCTCTAACTTTCTACCACTTTGTTCTGGTTCTTTCTTGGATCACAACAACTACACAAAGATTGCTCGTTAAGATACATTTGAGACTGCTTTGCACAATTCCAGGGCGTTCCGAAGACACGATCATCTTTTTGAATTAGTTTTGGGGCCCAAACACCTGGATACTCCTGAGAAGGATCCAGTGTGGGGTTTGTCTCCCAAAGAATATTGGTGACCAGATGTTCTTCAACCAAACAAAGAAATGTTTCCCTGTCCCTGCTCAATAGAGATTCAAAGCCATGCAGTTTTTATTTTTATTATATTATGAGGACTACGAGGGGCCCATAAACCTCGAGCAGGCATGTCAAACTCGTGACGTCACGTGACGTCGCCCAACGTATCGGAGCTTTTTCGCCATTGCCGGCAATGGGGTGGGCGCGGCTCCGGTATGATGAAACCGGCCCACGGGCCGGCAGTTTGACACCCCTGACCTAGAGTGCAAAACCCAGGTGACCTCCAATGATCACTAATTGGGGAATGTGATTTATGACGGTTAATTGGAGGAGGGAATTGTGCTTTGATACTAGGTGCTCAGGGGAGGGGAATTCAGTTTTTGGCTTTGATTATGCAAGTGCCGATATTATGCTACTCGAATAACAGATTCTTTAGGTAAACAATGCCTCGAAGTTCTTTTGAAGAGTTTCATCTGTCGGAACCATGACGTCTTCATTCTCCATTCCTCGAATCATCCTCGTTGCTCTTCTCTGCACTCTTTCTAGAGTCTGTGGATGCTGGGGAAACTATTTTGCGGTTGTTCTGTCCCCCGTCCGACTCACACACCCCAACCAGTCCGCCGAGGGCTGAAAAACTGCTCAGCATAGCCAAATACAGATGAACACTTGGCAGCAACTCCGTGGCTGCCTGCCAAGGCTTTTACTGATAACACACTACAAACATACGATAAGTCCAGGATAAATTGCCGGAGTGCTGCAGCAGGAGATTCAGCAAAAATTGTTCGTCACAAAAGTTTCAAACGGCACACCCCTTGCTTATATAGCCTGTGGGGTGTGGCCCAGTGACTCAGCTGAATTCTCTGGCACGGTGTTTCAGCTGCTGCGCACACTTGTCCCTCCGACGCTGGCGTGGATCCAGCCAAGACGTATCCTCTTCGGAGTCCGATACACCTGGCTCCTGGCCAATCCCAGAAGCACTGGGCTCCTGGCCAATCTCCTCTCCGTCGGAAGGCACCGAAGGCCGCACCAGAGGGGAAGGTCCTGGAGAGGGAGGCCTGGCCATCTCCTCTCCATCATGTTCAGAGCCTTCCTCCTCTGATGAGAGGGACCCACAGGACGGAGCCACAACAGCGGTGCTGCTGCAGCTTTCTCTGAGGATGGTTTGGGTCTGATATAGGGAAGGAGAGTTCCATCCAGTGGCTGCTTACTTGGGGTACACCACAATCCTTGCCTCCCGACCTTTGAATATCTACCTGAAATTGCTAGGAAGGTCATCCAATAACTCAAGAGTACAGTATCTTCAGACTGCTGCTGATACCTAGATTTATGTCCCCAACTCAGGCTGTGGAGGAGAGGCTGTGGAGGCCCTTCACAAAATCATTCATGTCCTAATCCCTTTTGGCAAGGCCTCCCACACTGGGCTGTCTTTGAAGACCATTTGAAAGCAACAACTGGTTGAGAATGCAACTATGTTTTTTGATTAAATAATGTCATCAATCTGTCACGAACTCCTGTGGCATCTGCCCTCTGGAACTCCAGAAAGACATGGGGGCATCCCATCTGGTTATAATGGAAGTCACGGAAATTACTTTGGAGAAACTACACGGGGTCAGCTACAAAAACATATTTAGTCGAGGTACTGAAGAAAACGTCAGAAAATATCTTAAACTGACTCTGCTTTAACTCCCAGGAGTGTAAGAGGGAAACAGAAAACGTTTTCTGGAAGGCAGGAAATAAAATCCACCAATATGCTGAAAATCTACTTTATTGACCTAGACGATAGTAACAAAACCTTGAAATCTTCTTTTCCTTTCTTTCCTCCTTATTCCTCCATGTCTAAATTTACCGACAAGCGGATTTGCAGGGATGTGTGTTGAAGTGGACTTAATTTCGAAATTTTTCGTACCTGGGATCCGCCTCAAAGTGTTGCTAGGAGTAATGCATTTTAGAGCCGATGGATGACTTTTCTACTCTAGCTTTTTCAGAGGACTAGAGAGACTAGCTTTCGAATCCAGGAGAGCTCAAGATGCTTCAGGATGAGATGCATGGCTGAATACATCTATAAGACAACCAGGTTTGGGGTGGGGGCAAATATTGGTTCCTTTCTTTAAAGAAAGAAAGACAGTAGAACAAGCTTTTTTTCAGATGAAGTCAGAAGTTTCTTTTAGGAAAGTTGCCCAGAGAGAGTTGGGTTTAGACTGTAATAAAGAAAGGGGCGATTATCGATTGACTAGTTGATATTATAAGGACTTCTTATTAGTACTTACATTAGGGCACAACTGAAAGATATGTAAATATAATTGCTGACGATTGAAAGATGGTTTAGCAAAACTTTTGTAGATGTTACACGCACAGTTTGTTATACTTTGTCCTGTTAAAGAATATATTTTAAGTTTCTGTTTTTCTTTCTGTAACATAAGGTAATACTGGTGAAGTCAGGGAAGTTGAAGTATGTCCATTTTTGTTTTTAAAATGTATATTCAGTAAAATTGGTAAAAAAAAGAAAAGAAAAAAGAAAGAGGTCCAAAGATGGACCATCATTAGGAGCTGTGTAAGAGGAAGCTCCCAAGTGCTCCAACAGCCACAGCAGTGTTATGGGAAGAGCAGACACCTGCAATGAAAAGAACATAGAACATAGAATCATAGAGCTGGAAAGGACCTCAGAGGTCATCTAGTCCAGCGGTCCCCAACCTTTGCAGCTTTGAGGGGGGGGAGAGGGGAACCGGGCCGCACAAGCAGCTGGCTGGCGTGCATGTGCATGCACACACAGCTTGGCTGCATGCGCATGTGCGCGCGCACAGGCCCACCGCGCGCGCAGGCTCATGCTGCGTGCGTGCATGTGTGCGCCACCCCACGGCTCACTAGACTAGACAAACCCAATTCCGGTGTCCCAGTTACCAAGAGTTTTACCTTCAATAAGTTTCTCGGATCTCTTAGTCCTTCTTCTCACTTGGCCCCCATCATTGGAAGAAGCTAGTAGATTGAGAGAAGAAATGAATCATTTGCTGGAAAAAGAGACTAGTATTATTTCTTTGGGAATCGAATCCTAAAATTCAGGATGCTATATCTCTGTTTTTATACGTTATCATTTCTTGCATTTGCCTAAGTAGTTCAATACTCAAAACACTGGTGTAGGAGATGACCAGGCTGAACCTGAGGGAGGGGTCAAGAGAGTCACCAGTCTTGAGACTTTTCATGCCCACAAGAGATTTAAGTCCAGCTCACCTTGAATTCCATTGGCTCTTATCCATAGCAATAGCATTTAGACTATATTCTATATTGGCCCATAGTGCTTTACAGCAAAGGTCCCCAACCTTTTGGGCACCAGGGACCAGTTCCGTGGAGAGAGGTTTTTCCCCGGACCGGAGGGTGCGTGGTTTTGTGTGCTGCCTGCATCCTGTGGATGGGGCTTTGCTTGTTTGTGCGGACCGGTTGCTGGCATGCTGCTGCCCGGTACTGGTCCACGGACCGGGGGTCGGGGACCCCTGCTTTACAGCAACCTCTGGGTGGTTTACAATGTCGAACTGTTATTTGCATAATATCCTCCAACAATCCAGGTCCTCATTTTACCGACCTCAGAAGAATGGAAGGCTGAGTCAACCTCGCGTCCCATCAGGAACAAACTCCAGGCTGCGGGCAGAGCTTGCCTGCAATACTGCATTTTGTCCACCAGGGCTGCTAATGAGCTGCAACTCACTTAAGAACTGCCTCATTTAGCAATGGAAATGTTGAGCTCAGTTATGGTCATCAAGTCAAGGACTACATATTCCTCATCTGGATATTTTTTGACAAAACGCAAGTCGCTGATGCCCCTGAAGCCGTACAATCTACTTACTGTACATCCAGAAACATCCATTTTCCTGTTTCTGCCAGCTGAGAATGCAATCAAGCCAGGACGTCTGGAAGAAATCTGAGAATCCAGCTAGCCCACAAAACATGACTGTGAGGAAAGAAGATGCAGGTTGATTGGTGATCTGGTTAGCGCAACTTGAGGATTAAGAGAGAGAAAAAGCTCTATTCCTTACAAAATTAAGCAAGGACTGGAAACTACCCACTTATTTTGAAGAGATCAATGGCTGTGTGTATCCTAGATGAAGCTAAGTCCAAAAAGTGCTAGAGAATTCCTGGAAGCCTGGCACTCAATCTAATCGGCCATCAACGGGCACATAAAGATAAGCAACATTTGTACGCCATTTAAAAGAGGAAATTTAAAAAACTAAGAAGGAAACAAACAGGCCAGAACACACCCTCTCCAGCAGCCAATCCCCAGATAAGCAGGGATTAACCTCAGGATTAATACCAGACCAACAATCAAGCAATAAATAATGTTCCAATCAAGGAATTACCAACTCAGACAAACAATCAAACAGTAAACAATCAAACCATTCAAAAAACTACCAAGAAGAAAACAACACTCCAGCCAACACTGGCATGGCAAGGAACTTGTAAATAAATAGAGAGCAAATCCCACTCCTTTCCAGCACTGATGATGTTAGCTAATTGGGTCATGAAATGACTGCAAGAAAACAATCAAGCTCAGAGAGCGCCAAGCGCCCCACGGATCACTTACTGTTCTCTGTAAAGACGTCTCCAAAATTGTCGATCAGATTGTTCTTTTCAAGATTGCGATTGGCTTGCATCATCAAATCACAGAACACGTTTTCATAATATTGGCTATTTTGGAAGAGAGAATTCGGGCACGATTGCTAGAGGGGGAAAGGTGAGAATATAAAGAAAGGCGGGATAAAATATTGATTGATTGGTTGCTTCCTCTTGCTAACCCAAATGTTCCAGTGGTACCACAAAGCAATTGACAGATGAAAATTAAGAAAAGATAAAGCTTTTAAAAATGCTTTTAAAGCATAAAATATCTGATTCAAAATACAGATCGGAAATAAAATTATTGAAGTAAAAATTAATGCACTTAAAATTTCTGCAGGTGGAGCTTACAAACTTACTGGGTTGTTTTTTTTTTCCAAATTTGGCAACTTTAAGATGTTGGACTTCAACTCCCAGAATTCCCCAGCCAAGTCCACAACCTCTACACCTCCCCCCCAACTCTTTGCCCTTCTGTCCAAAATCTTTGCAAATGGATTAAAGATCTCAGAACATTCAAAATTCCTTCCTCTTCATCCTATGATTATCGTTCTAACCACCCTGGCAACGTGATCCAGAGTCACCGTGTGTAAATTGGGCAGCTATATACGTTTGTTTAATAAACAAACGAACAAACATGGACACTCTCTTACCATCTTGGCAAACAGAAAGTAAAAGAGTTGATGGGACAGCGAATAACCATAGCAGTGAGTGTTTATCATGAGACTGGTGCAATCGTCGGGAATCCAGCATACATCTGCATCCTCCCTGTTGAAGGAAGATAAAACTCAGATAAGACTTCCTGCCCACTGTCAAGGATGAAACTTTGGCAGCTACATGCCTCTGCGTTTAGAGTAAGAGGGAAAGGTATTACTTTGGAGTGGATTAGATGGAGAAACAAAACTTCTATGATTCAGCTGAAGACTGTGAGAGCCTGAAACCTTTTCAAGGACACCATACAAGGTGTGGATTTGAAGCAGACGGTTCCCATAACAAACTGAACTTGTTTATATGGACTACGTGAGACGTTGGGGGTTTGGCTAGGAAAATTATTGTTTAAGTCTATGAATTGGAGTTGGAACCTCAGAGTTAGTTTTGCTTCGACATACCCATGCAGTGTATTCAATAAATAGCAAGATTTCTGGAGGCCATCATTGCAATGTCCCAGGGACACGTGATAACCATTTGTGATGTTTCCAGCTGGCTTCTGATAAGCAAAATGGGGGGGAAGCTGGATTCACTTAACAACCATATGATTCACTTAACAACTCAGTGATTTGCTGAATAACTGTGGCGTAAAAGGTTGTAAAATTGGGGATGAATTATTTAACAACCACCTACTTAATAACAGGAATTCTGGACTCAGTTGTGGTTGTAAGAGCTTTGGGGACGCAGTGATTAGAATGCAGTACTGCAGCTTCTGCCCATAGCCTGGAGTTCCATCCTGACTGGCTCAAGGTTGACTCGGCCCTCCGTCCTTCCAAAGTCGGTAAAATGAGGACCCAGATTGTTGGGGGAAATATGCTGACTGTAAACTGCTTAAAGAGGGCTGTGAAGCATTGTGAAGCAGTATATAAGTCCAAGTGCTATTGCTATTGTTATTGCCCGCCCTTCCTTCCTTCCTTCCTTCCTTCCTTCCGATCCTGACTGGCTCAAAGTTGACTCGGCCCTCCATCCTTCCGAGGTCGGTAAAATGACCCAGATTGTTGGGGGCAAATAATGCGGACTCTGTAAACCGCTTAGAGAGGGCTGTAAAGTGGTATATAAGTCTAAGGGCTTTTGCCATTGTAAGTCAAGGACTACCTGTATCAGTTTTAAATCGAGCAATGTATTGCTTGATTAACCTGCTTTGTATATAATTAAATAGGTGCTCCACAACACAAAGTTTATGAGTGGAACATGCCAGGGATTACCAAATTGTTTTGGCTAACAGCCCTTCTAAAAATTTTGGGAAAATATCATTGGCATATCCTAAACACTGCTTAGTACTTAGAACAGGCCAATTCTTATCAGCTGTTGCATCAGAGCAGAGTGTCCTTGATCTGCTCTTCAGAGGCGCCAGACCCAATTCCAGCCTTGGGGATGATGGGAATTGCTACCTTAATATATTTCGGGAAGTCTACAGACCGTCCTTGACCTACGAGCGAAATTCTGACCAGTTCCCATTGTTGACCAAGGGGGTTCTTGAGGGAGTCATACCTGATTTTATGACCCTTTTGCCAGTTATTAAACAAATCCCTCCTATTTTTAAATGAATCAAGCACTCATTAAGGAAATCCACTTTCCCCCCATTGACTTTGCTTGTCAGAAGCCAACTAAGGAGGTCACAAATGGTGACCACAGGACCCTAGGAAGCTGCAACCATCAAAAATATAGGCCAGTTGCCAAGAGCCCCAACTTTGATCAAGTGACCGTGGGGATACTGTGATGTTTGCTAGTCCAAGGACTGACTCCTAAGTCACTTTTTTCAGTGCTGTTGTAACTTCGAACAGTTACACAAATGGTTGTAAGTCAAGGAGTAGCTGTTTTGGAGGAGAAGGTACCCTAGATAAGAGGAAAATCGAAGCAAAATACCTACTGTGTTCCTAATACTGCTGAGAGGCAAAAATCACTTTTTTTATAATCCAGACAGGGGCCGCTTGTTAGGGAATAAGGAATAGACTCATTAATCTTTCTCCATTCCCGAGGGACCTTCCAAAATCCTGGCTTTAAAACTGGAGCAAAGGCTGAGGGGGGAAAAATGGGAAAGAGAGAAAGCCATGCTTGAGACTCTGAATAATTCAACTCATCATCTGAGAGTGTTGGAAAAACGTGGTTACACTAGCTCAGGGGTAGGCAACCTTGGCTCTTTTATGACTCGTGGACTTCAACTCCCAGAATTCCTGAGGCAGCATGGCTCAGCTTGGAAACCTCTCCCTTTCCCCTCAGCATGGCTGGCTCAGGAATTCTGGGAGTTGAAGTCTACGAGTCATAAAAGAGCCAAGGTTGCCTACCCCTGCACTAGCTGATCCAGATTTTTCTTGCCTCTGTAAATAACATTTATAAAAATATATACAAAAAATTAACACGATATATTTGCATGCAAGAAAGTCCCAGACTTATTTCCCTGGCTTTCAAATTAGATTCCAGAGCTAGGAAGAGCAATTATCTCATTCAGAATAAAATAATCTCCTGTATTCCTTTGGCAGAAGTGGATAATTGCCTTTCCCAGGGTAGATATGTAGTCCCCAAGCTCTCCTTTGTATCTCTCAGAGTCTCCTCTAACAACAATTGTTGAAAATCATTGCAAGCTTCTGGCTGTTTTGTGCCAAACGCTCCCCAAAGGTATAACGGAAGCCATAAAACAAATGCATCATTGCTTAAAATAATGAAGAAATCCCAAGCACAAAGCAAGTAACATGGATGACGAGCTGGGGAGGGCTATCCTGACTCCACGCTAATACGTATGTATGTATGTATGTATGTATGTATGTATGTATGTATGTATGTATGTATGTACCTATGCATTTATTTATTTATCTCCTGCCTTTTATTATTTTTATAAATACCCCAAGGCGGCGAACATACATAATACTCCTTCTTCCTCCTATTTTTCCCAAAATAACAACCTTATGAGGTGAATTCGGCTGAGAGAGAGGCCCTGGTCCAAGGTCAGCCAGCTGGCTTTCATGGCTAAGAAGAAACTAGAACTCACTGGCCAAAAGTCACCTGGCTGGTTTTCATGGCTGAGCAGGACTAGAACTCACCGTCTCCTACTTTCTAGCCTGGTGTCTTAACCACTAAACCAGGGGTAAGCAACCTTGGCTCTTTTATGACTCGTGGACTTCAACTCCCAGAATTCCTGAGTCAGCATAGCTGACTCAGGAATTCTGGGAGTTGAAGTCCACGAGTCATAAAAGAGCCAAGGTTGCCTACCCCTGCACTAGACCAAACTGGTTCTCTAGTTTACATCACTAGCAAACTCCCACACCTGTTAAGGAACAACTCTTGGCAATGAAAACTTTTCTTTCCCAGACTTATGAAATGATTCACATCAATCAATCAATCGTGTTTATTACAGCCATAAGGCCAGACATAATCAAAATATAACAGCAGTGACAATTTTACTTCCATGTGTACAGAACATAAAACCATAAAACCATCAATGTATTATAATCCGAAATTCTCAAAATAAAACGTCATGTTAAAATTTTTCAGACCTTAATAATGGTGCGACGTATTGTACAAATGGTGGCACAACATTGGGCAACCTGAATTGATATTTTCGGATCCTTATCCGAAAGTAGCAACTTTAGATAAAATTCATATCCCCTACCTGGAAACCTCTTCAATATCGGATATTTAAGAATCTGTCTAGGGTCTTTATATAAAGAACAATGAAGCAGCATATGGCGTTCACATCCATCTTCTGTATCTAGGGAGACATGGGCACCTACCTTTCCCAACCATGGTTACCTAATTCTACTGAAATAACATTTCACACCTACCTTTGTGGAAAACGGGATCCTGTTTTTCAACGTCTTGGGTTGCCTCCTCTATGAAAGTCAACAGCTTCTGCTTCAAAAGCTGGATTCTCTGCCACTCCAGGGTTAATTCCGGCCGCCACAGCCATCTCTCCAGGACCGTCTTCAAATGTGCTGGAGGTTTGCAGAGGGAGGAAAAAGAGATGGGATTCACACCGTAGTATCTCGGAAGTAAAAAGAGAGAGAAGAAACCCAACCGCTGGAATGACACGAATGGGATGTGACGCATCACAACGCTTTTCAATTAATTTTGGTGTTTTTTTGAGGGAGACGGAAATGTAACACCAAGACCAGATTGATTGATTGATTGATTGATTAAGTGCCATCAGATCATCTTCGATTCCTAGCGACCACAAAGATTTCTCCAAGAAGGGGATGGCACCAGAATATTTGACAGACTAGATCTTCTTGGAGTCTGGAAGGAGCTGAGCTATGAAATAAACACTACAACGACATTAATGCAGCCTTTTCCCCATCTGAAATGGATTTGCATTTCTATCCCTTCACGACAACTGCAGTTCTTGAATCTCTCCCATCATAAATTTCCCAAACAGTCATTTCTAGATTTATTTATTTAGCATATGGCACATACAGAGGTCATGCAATCATTGATATACCAACACTAATAAAACACATTTTAAATACAAACACAACTGTAAGTGTTAGCAGCTCAGACTGTCATCTTTATTTAGGTGACATCAGAACAGATCAGACTCCCGACTTGTCATTCTGCCCTGCCCATTTCTAGGAATCACATCCGATTTCCAAGCTTTCCTTGATCACATCCATGTTCCTCTTCTACTGCCTTCCTTTCTTCTTTGTCCCATCAACACAATCGGCCTTTGTAGTCTTTCATCCACCTGTATGACATCCTCAAAACGACGGGAGTTTCAGCCTGTCCCCCAACTAACCTTCCAACTTTCAATAACCATCTTCAAACCACTGGTTTAAAAGCGTCTGTCTCCTTTCTCTTCCTCTTCCTCATTCTCCAGCTTTCGAACACAAGAACACTTTAGTTCTTGTGATTTTTGTTATCCTCCAAGTGCGTTCATCACACGTAATTTTATCCCACTTGTCACTGTCTTCCTCTTTTCGGTTTGTCTCCCCCTTACTTCTCCCTCACAATTTCCCACTTTATGTGTTCCCCAGCCCAAGGACACAAAACACCCAGCTTCCTTTAACTGAAGAACAGAGTTGGAAGGGACCTTGGAGGTCTTCTAGTCCAACCCCCTGCTCGAGCAGGAAGCCCTATACAAGTTCAGACAAATCGTCGTCCAATCTCTTCTTAAAAACCTCCAGTGTTAAGAGCACCCATAACTTCTGGAGGCAGGTTGTTCCACTGGTTAATTGTTCTAACTGTCAGGAAATTTTTCCTTATTGCTAGGTTGCTTCTCTATTTGATTAGTTTCCATCCATCGTTTTTAAAAAAGTAAATGCCGCTTTCCTTTCATATTCCTCAAAAGCTGTCTTTTACCATGTGCATCCCAAGCCTTCCACCCATGCCTAAAAGCAAAGAGGGATAGAGATCCCATTTGCATTCTTGCACTTATGGAACATAGAAGATAGAATAATAGGATTGGAAGGGACCTTGGAGGTCTTCTAGTCCAACCCCCTGCTCGAGCAGGAAGCCCTATACAAGTTCAGACAAATCGTCGTCCAATCTCTTCTTAAAAACCTCCAGTGTTAAGAGCACCCATAACTTCTGGAATCAAGTCGTTCCCTTCTTTGCAGTCAACTTTTAAGTTTAATAAGAACCCCAGCAGTGGCTAAAACTGGTACCTTCCAAGACAGTGTATCCCAGCACCGCATCTATGTTGATTTTGTCGTGTTTTTCACCCAGGAACGTAACTGCCTTCTCCAAGGCAGAAATGATAGCTTTTCTCCTATCTTCCTCACAAGAGGAGCTCTGCAGGTTTGCGAGACAGAACAACAGCAAAAATGCAAACATCAGCATTTTTACATTGGGGCAGGAGAAAGCAACAGAGGCTTTTTATAGTTCCTGGGAAAAACCTCCACACCTCTCTTTGTCCTCCTTAAACCTCTTTATATGTAGGATTTGTGTACACGAGCACCCATGTCACAGCCCAAGAAGCTCTGATTGACAGCCATGAGTCACCAACTTTCAGCTCTATATTCTTTACAAGAAATCATTAAAGTTCTTCCAGGGGCCAAATGACATTTTGTTGATGGATGGAAGTAGCTCAAAAGTCATTTGGAGTTGAGTGACATACAAGTCCTAGACAAGGAAACAAACTGATGGGGGGGGGGTTGGTATAAAAATTATTGAATGTCTTAAAAAAGAAGATAAACACTGAAAAAAACTAACACAAAGTAAGAAAAGAAAGGGAGAAAAAGGAGAAATAAAAGGGCAAAGGTACACAAAGAAAAGATAAACAGAAAGGTGTCTCCAATTTCTTTGCTGCAAATACAAACTGGATTACAAAATTACCTCTTTGGAAAAAAGCTTTATTTCTTTCATTATCTAATATTTTCCAATCACCAGGACCATAAATCATGTCCATTTTTTTCTGCTTCATGCAAAAAAATCCCTAAGGATTTTCCAGTCAGCAATAAAGCAAACCACTGTCTTTTCTTTAATTAAATTAGTCAAGTTTCATCAACTTCAACAACCATCCCTCCTTTGTAGACAGTACCGAATCTTTTCACTTTTAAGCAAATAGAAATCTTGCATCAGTTGTCAGGTATCTAAGCAAAACTCTGTGATTGCTTTTCCAGCTGTTTATTCATTGAACCCAAAAGAAAAATCTCTAGTTTCAATTGTACATTAGTCTTCAAAATCTTTAAAATCTTCTGGCGTAGTGCATGTATTTGGATCCAAAAATTGCTGGTTTTCTTGCCCCTCCGTACATCATCATAATATGTTCCTTCGTGTTGTTCACATTTCCAGCACAAATTTCTAGTACTTAGTTGAAATAAATTGTTGTTGTGGCATTCACAACAAGAAAAAAACGCACAGCTCTTAACGTGACCAAGACTGACTAACACTGACCTAGTTAGAAGAGAATATATGTAACTCAGGGTTGAACTGTGGGGTCTTTGATGCTCTCCCAGCTTGATTGTTTCTGTGTACACATTTCATTACCCAACTGGGTAACATCATCAGTATCGGAAGGCTGTGGGGATTTCCTCTTTGTTTAAATACAGGTTTAGCCCACTCCCTTCTAGCACTGATATGACCTAATTTGGTACTGAAACGTCTGCAAAAATACCCAAGCTTAGAGAGCACCAAGGACCCCACTGATCTAACTGATGGGAACTCTTAAGCTTCTGCCGCTCCTCACCCATTGCAGCAACCCCCTGAAAGGGGGTCTTAGATGGATTACACCTTGAAGGAGAATATTTGTAATTCAGGGTTGAAAATGAGGGGTCCTTGGTGCTCTCTGAGCTTGATTGGTTTCTTTCAATGGTGGGATTCAGCCGGTTCGCACCACTTCAGCAGAACCGGTAGCTAATTTTTTGTTGTCCAGGTCCAGAATGGACTTCTGGAAGCAGCATCCACACAGAGAACCGGTTGTTGACATATTTGAATTCCACCACTGGTTTCTTTCATTATCCTAACTAGGTAACATCATCAGTGCTAGGATTAATAGAATAGAATAGAATAGAATATGGAATGGAACGGAATAGAATAGAATAGAGTAGAACAGAGTATAGAATAGAATAGAATAGAATAGAAAAGAAAATGGAATGGAACGGAACGGAACAGAGTAGAGTAGAGTAGAGTAGAGTAGAGTAGAGTAGAGTAGAGTAGAGTAGAGTAGAGTAGAGTAGAGTAGAGTAGAGTAGAGTAGAGTAGAGTAGAACAGAGTATAGTATAGAATAGAATAGAATAGAATAAAGAGCTGGAAGGGACCTTGCAGGTCATCAAGTCCAGCCCCCTGCTCAAGCAGGATATCCTATATCAATTCAGAAAAAAGTTTCTCCAATCTCTTCTTGAAAGCTTCCTGTGATGAAGCTCCCAGAACGTCTGAAGGCAAACTGTTCCGTTGGTTGATTGTTCTCACGGTCAGGAAATTTCTCCTTATCTCTAGGTTGAATCTCTCCTTGATCACTTTCCATCCTTTCTTCCTTGCCTGGCCTTCAGGTGCAGTTACACCTGAACTTACACCTTGCCCTTGGATTCTCCCTCTCCACGAGAAGGCATATTTGGATGGAAGTCTTTCCTCCCCCCCCTTTTGCATCCCCCCCTCCCCCGCTTTGGCACTGATAAAAAGGACGAGGAGACCCAATCTTCCATTCCAGCGGCGCTCTACCTTTCAACCTACGGAATCGTGTTGCAGTTCGTCCTCCCGGCCGGCAGGGCGGCCGCGGCGGCGTCCCGACGTGCCTCGCGGCGCACCCGGGAGCCGCTCCGCGCGGCCTCTCGCCGCCTCTCCCAAGATGGAGGCCGGCGATTGGCTGCTCTCGGGGTGGGCGCTGCTGCTGCTGCTGTTCCTGGCGGGGGCCTGGTGGTCGTTGCGGCCCCCGAAGCGGCCTGCCGACGTCGCGGGACGCGTGGCCGTGCTGGTGGTGGGCGACCTGGGCCGCAGCCCCCGCATGCAGTACCACGCCTTGTCGCTGGCCCGTCGCGGCCGCCGCGTCGCTTTCATCGGCTACGCGGGTGAATCTTCCTCCCGAGCCCGAGAGGCGGCGGGCCGAGGCCCGGGAGGCCGCCTTTCTTCCCGCAGCGCCTTCTCCCCGAAGCTGGAGCCGGGCTGCCTTGTCCTACTACAGCTCCCAGCAGCCCCGGCCAGGGCGGCCGTGCGCGAGGGATGCTGGGAGTTGTGGTTCCGCAGCCGTGGAAAGGCCCGCCTGGGTTCCTCCCCAACCTGGCGCCCTCCTCCAGTAGGGGAGTGGGAGCCTGCGAGGCCATGGTCTTCTGACATGCTGGGGAGGATGGGGGTTGTAGTGCCTCCCCCTGGAGGCTTCTGCCTTCTTGCTGGGGTGGGTGGGAAGGTCAGAGGAGGAACCCTTCTGAATATTTGGGGTACAACTTAAGTGTTAGTAGTAGTAGTAGTAGTAGTAGTAGTAGTAGTAGAAGAAGAAGAAGGAAGAAGAAGAAGAAGAAGAAGAAGAAGAAGAAGAAGAAGAAGAAGAATTGGAAGGGACCCTGGAGGTCATCTAGTCCAGCCCCCTGCTCAGGCAGGAAACCCTATACCATTTCAGACAAACGGTTGTCCAGTCTCTTCTTAAAATTTTATTTTAGGGTTTCCATTTTTCAGGGGTTTTGCATACTTTTTATTTAGATTTCTGGCTCTCTTTCCTTTCTTGACCATCCCTCAGGTTCGGATCTAATCTCTGAAAAGTTTTTTTGCCCATCGCCAACAAAATTGCTGGATGCAATTGGTTTGCACTTTGGGTATTTAAAATTGCAGAAGCAACAACTGCCAGCCCTTGATTGAGAAAATCAAGGCATTTTTTGGGGTGGAGGGGGAGTATGAGACAGCCAAAATTAGCAGAATTAATCAACTGATGTGCAAGCTTACTGACCGGAAAAAAAAACCTGGCAGGCAACAAAGGAACAGAGAGCCAGTTTTCTTAAGATTATTCTAGATATTACTTATTACAGTGACATCCTCCCACAATGTTCTTTGGCTCCTCCTGCTTCCTTTATGATATGTTTTCTTTTGAACCTGACTTACTGCTGCCATCATCTCAAAACCAGGCCAAAGGGATGGGGCAGCCAAGCTATTTCTGAAAAGCTTGTGTGTAAACTCTAGCTATGCTTAATCAGAATACAATTAGTCACGGAAGTAATGTGAGATTTGTTTGTTTTTTAATTAACCTGCCCTGTTTAGACTAGGAAGAGAAGCATAATTGTTCCTGTCTTTCATCTGGTTGATGGTTTCACAATAATAAGTTACAGCAGTAGTCTTCAGCGCTCATTTCTTTCTTTGAAGTGGGTCAGATACCTGCCACAAGGCAGATCACATTGAGAAGATCATTTAGGGCAGAGATCTCTTTATTCATTATTTCAAAAAGCTTTCTAGCCTTCTACAGAACATAGAATTATAGGAATGGAAGGGACCAGAAAGGTCTTATGGTCCAGCCTCCCTGCTCAAGGCAGGAGAACTTATATCATCCCAGTCAAATGATTGTCTGGTCTAGTTTTAAAAACCTACAGTGAAATGCAAACTTTAATTTGGATTCCTGATCTGAGAAATTTAGACTCAATATCTAGAGCACATGGTCCTGGACAGCTACTAGTGCAGCCCCACAAAATTGTAAACTTTTAATATTATTATGTGGTTTATATACATTAGCTATATTATATATTTTATATGTGGCCCAAGATGATTCCTCTTCACTCAGTATCACCCAGGGAAGCCAAAAGATTGGACAACCATGGTCTAGACCAGGGGTCTTCATACTTGGGGATTTTAAGACTTGTGGACTTCAACTCCCAGAATTCCGGCTGGATGGATGACGAATTCTGGGAGTTGAAATCCACAAGTCTTAAAAGTTGCCAAGTTTAGAGACCCCTGGTCTAGAGACTCAATAAATTGTCCCATTCCAGCTCTTAAGAATTACACTTATTTGTTACTAATGGAGGCTGGAGAAGTTTTTATACATGTTTTTTCTCTAATTGACCGGTGAGGAATTGACTTCAAAGCTTCTGATTGTTCTTCTTGGAAATTCTGGACAAAATCTCCTAGCACTATTTGCTTTTCTTTCAGGCACAAAACCACACAATGAGATCATCAGCAATGAAAACATTGAGATTGTTCCCCTTACGGAGCTCAAAATCTGGCAAGGTAGGATGAACGTTGCGTCGTTTCATTTATGTACTTAACCTGCGGAAAAACTGACGTCGAGTCAGACCAAGTTTATTTGTACAGAAATGTTGCAGAGATCTGAATAATCCTTTTATTCACCAGTCTTTTCTCTCCCTCCTCTGACTCTTTCTTTGCTATTTTTGGCAAGACCAGCGAGGAAGAAAGGGCATAAAAACAATGAAGTGTTGATCAAAGCATATCAGCACTAGTCATCAACGAGTACAGTCAGTGCCATCTCTGGACTCTAACCTGGATGAAATAACTCCAAACAATCTGCCATCTTTTGGATCTTCTGCAGGTGAAGCTCGTCCACCTTCTCCACAACCTTTTTCCCTTTCAAGGGGAGGTTGGAGACTGGATGGATATTGTCAAGAAGTATCCAAAGACTTGGGCTGGCATGTGGTGTTTTCTGGTCAATTCCACCAGGCACAGCCCTTTTCAGTCTGAGGACATTCCGCGTGACGGAATATTTTGCAGTGTTCAATTTTAAGTAGAACATTGAAGGTTCTGCATTTGAACATCTCGTCATGCTTTTCAGCTACAGGTAGTTCTTGACTTACGGCCACAGTTGAACCCAACATTTTTGTTGCTACGCAGGACGTGAATTTTGCCCCCTTTTACAAATCTGGCCACACTTGTTAAGCAGTCACTGCAGCTGTTAAATGTTTATGGAGATTCTCAGTCAGCCAAGCCAGGGTTGTCCCAAAGGTACTTTTTTTTTTTTAAAGAGGGAACTGGAGTTCCTGGTTTTCCGTTTAAGATGTTTCCCTTCTCATCCAAGAAGCTTCTTCAGCTCTGGCTCTTCAAAGAAAAACAAGAAAGTCCAGCTGCCTCTTGAAAAAGCACCCTTGGGACTGCAGTTGTTAAGTGACTCTGGCTTCCCCCATTGACTTGGCTTGTCAGAAGGTCGCAAAAGGGGGTTGCGTGGCCCTGGGACACCGCAACCGTCATAAATACATGCCAATTGCCAAGCGTTTGAATTTTGATCACATGACTATGGGATGCTGCAACCGTTGTGTGAAAACGGGTCACGGGGTTTAGAAGACCAGATCCTGAAGTTGAAACTCAAGTACTTTGGCCACCTAATGAGAAGGAAGGACTCACTGGAGAAGAGCCTGATGCTGGGAAAGATGGAGGGCAAGAGAAGAAGTGGACGACAGAGAAGGAGGTGGCTGGATGGAGTCACTGAAGCAGTAGGCGTGAGCTTAAAGGGACTCCAGAAGATGGCAGAGGACAGGAAGGCCTGGAGGAATGTTGTCCATGGGGTCGCGATGGGTCGGACACGACTTCGCAACTAACAACAACAAAGTGGTTTTTTTCAGTGCCATTATAACTTCAAACAGCAAACGAAACGAAGGGCTGTAAGTGAGGATTATCTGCATCCAAACGTTACTGAGCATCGAGCCTTGACCAGAGTTTCTTTTCCTTTGCAGTTGGGCCCAGGTTTTTCCAGTATATCATAAAAGTGATTGTGCAGAGTTTCCAGCTGTTGTACACTCTGCTAAGGATTGCTCCACCAGGCTGTGTGCTTCTCCAGGTATGCACACTTCCAGGTTTTAACACCCATCTTGCCTCCTACCTCTATTTAAACCATAGCATCGGTCCAGCTTTTTTAAAAGAGTCATAAAGATTGCTGAGAAGTGCAAGTTTAACTTAGTTTTTATTTGACTGCCATCCTGTAAGGACCTGCCCCAGTTGATCCCATTAAGGTTAAATCAAAAAGAACTTTTACTGAGAGATAGTGGATGCAGAGAAGTCAGGCGGAATCTGAAGGTCCCGCTCAAAGTGCAAAACAATTCTTTCATTTTCCCCCAAACTCAACCCCCCCACCAGTCCACCAGCAGCCAAAATGATGCCCCAAGTTTGTTTTGAGAATGTTGAGATGCTGGGTAGATAACAGATCATTTTCAGGGCACGAGGACCTTGGAACCAGCCTGGAATTGGTGGGGAAGGAGTCTCTTTCTTCTCCAAAGACATTCCCCCTTCCTAATTCCCAAGCGGTTACAGCAGAAGCGAAAGCATGCAAAGAATGGCAGAAACTTCCCCCCCCCCAACAGAACGGCAGGACATCAGCATGGTGGACCTGACACATCCTGTGAATAGTGTATCGAAAGGTGCAGGTGTAGGTGTTATTTTATAAAGAATATAAAATAAGTATGCGCCCTATATGGGCTAACAGAAGATGTTATGATTACAGCGTTGGAACGGAGAGAGAGTTGGATATCTCAAGAATAACTCACACAATCTATGGATGCAATGTTTAAATATTGTTCTCCTTGCTGCTCTTAAGAGTTTATGATATAAAGTTTGCAAGAAGAAAGAGAAAGCCCAGACATCTCATGTAGAAAGGATTGAAGGATTGGGAATTTTGGGGTTTCCAAGTTAAAATGAGCTATACTGCAGCTTTAGCCATGGGGCTTACGACTGCTGGGAATTATGGTTCAGGAATATTAGACTGGTTGTAGGTGACTCACCTGGGTTAAGTGGGGAAAGGAGGGTCCCTTCGCTGGCGTTGAGTTGGTATTCTGGAAAGAAATGACTATCATAAGCCGGTTTGGTCTGGTGGTTAAGGTGTCATGCTAGAAACCAGGAGTCAGTGAGTTCTAGTCCTTCCTAAGGTATGAGAGCTGGGTGTCTTTGAGCCAATCTCACAGGGCTGTTGCTGGGGGGGGGGAATAGGAGGAGGAAGGAATATTAGATATGTTCGCTGCCTTGAGTTGTTTATAAAAAATAATAAAAGCGGGATATAAATAAAATAAAATAAGGAGAGGGTGTGTGGGTAGAGAAATTAGAAAGGAACCGATCTCATTTACTGGGATTGTTCTGAAATATTTTCTCTTCTCCCCATAACCAGAATCCGCCCGGTTTGCCCAGCATTGCGGTCAGCTGGATGTTTTGCCTACTGCGAAACAGCAAGCTAATAATCGATTGGCACAATTATGGGTACACTCTAATGGGACTGACTCATGGGAAAAAACACCCGATCGTCCGGATTGCAAAATGGTGCGTTCAAGACTTTTGATATTTACGGGGTACAGGTGACCATTGCAAAGTGATCCAGTGAAATCTGATTTCTTTTCAGAATGTCGCAAAATAATCAGGTAGGTCTCTTACCTGTTCCTGCCAGGTCCCACTGGGTGTTTAAACACTCATTAAGGAGGTGATGGTGGACTCTTCCTTTTTTAACAAAAGGTGCCAAAGCCACATTTTTATGGCTTGTTTCTCTCTTGATCTTCCTAAGAGAACAAAATATTACTGAAAACAGTTCACTTTCCCTGTAGAGAGAGAGAGAGAAATATACAGGTGGTCCTCGACTTACGACCATAATTGAGCCCAACGTTTCTGTTGCTAAGCGAGACAGTTGTTAAGTGAATTTTGCCCCCATTTTACAACCTTTCTCGCCACAGTTGCTAAGTGAACCACCGTAATTGTTAAGTTAGGACCGCAGTAGTTCAGTGAATCCGGTTTCCCATCGACTTTGCTGGTCAGGAGATCACAGAAAAGGGGGAATCACATGACCCCGGGACACTACGACCGTCATAAATAGGAGTCAGTTGCTGAGCATATGGATTTTGATCACGTGCACATATGGGGATGCCTGCAACGGTCGTAAGTGTGAAAACCGGGCATAAGTGCCGCTGTGACGTCAAATGGTCCTTAAACGAACTGTTGTAAGTTGAGGACTATCTGTCTTTGTATTTCCAGGTTGGAAGAATTTCAGAAAGTGTCTGGCTGCATGCTTAACACCTAAGTACACGTCCGAAAGTTGCTCCCACATTCATAACTGCCTGTATTTTGGTATCTGGAAAGCAGCGGTTTCTGACTTGAGGACTGTGCGTGCTTTGAGAATAATTTACTGATTGAAGATTTTTAAATATTTTTAAATTTTTAAAATGTGTATGCTGCCCACCTTGTAGTTTGAAGCGATTGAGCAATGTATAAGAAATAGATTGCATGGGCATTGCCTTGCTTTGCTGTTGATTAAAGTTGCCCTCTCTTTTTTTCAGGTTTCTTCAGCAGCCTGAAAAAAAACATACTGTGGCATCAAGAAGTCAACTCAGTTAAAGTTAGTAGAATTCTTAATGCAGTACAACATTCCCCCCCCCCCCCAGTTTTCAGGGAAGCTTGACTGTATGTGTGTATGTATGTATGTATATATGTATGTATGTATGATGGGTGAAGGACCCAGTCTACCAAATACAAAGCAATCTGCTCTGCGTTTCGCTCCAGTCTAGGAGCATCTTTTGCAGGCAGACATCACTACTGTGATAACTGTAAATTCAAAATTTTGTGGCTGACAAAGAGTTAAAGGGAGAGTAGTATAGCTATTTCAGACTCTTTAGCTTTATGACTTAGCTGATGAGAGCTAAAGAACTTGAAATAGCTATACTAGTCTCCCTTTAACTCTTTGTCAGCCACATAATTTTGAATATACACACACACATATTTTCAAAATGTGGATTGCTGACAAAGAATTAAGGGAGAACTGGAATAGCCATTTCGAACTTTTTAGTTCTTTTCAACCAGACATACCCTTCTGAGATTCGAACCTGGGCTGTCTGCATGTTAGGCAGATGTATTAACTTTCCCATATTTGGGCCGACAGGGTGCACCAAACTCAAGACACACACACATATATATATATACATACACATACACACACACACACACACACACACACACACATATATATGTCAAATAGTTTAGACTTGTATGTATGTATGTATATGTATATATGTGTGTGTGTTTGTGTGTGTATTATATGTCTTTATTTTTACAAGAGAAAAAGGACAGGAAGAAAAATTGAAACAATAGAAAAAGGATAAAGGAAGGAAAACAGCGGCAACAAAATTAGATCTAGAGGTCATTAAGTATTTTAGATTAGAAATTAGATATTTTCAAGAAAAGATTACTGCATTTCGTTATCCGTATAGGTAGCCCCTTCTGATCATTCAATTAGCGATTATTTGAAGTCCTAACGGCACTGAAAAAAAGTGATTTATGACTAGTTCTCAGACGTATGACCATGGCAGCATCCCCACGGTCACAGGATCAGTACTCAGGTGCTTGGCAACTGGCGTGTATTCTACAACGGTTGCAGCATCCCAGAGTCATGTGATCACCATCTGTAACCTTTCCGGTCAGTTTCCAGCAAGCCAGATTTGCTTAATGGCTATGTGATTCATTTAACTGCAGTGATTTGCTTAACAACTGTGGCAACAATGTTGTAAAATTGGGCACAACTCATTTAATGACTGCCTTGCTTAGCAATAGAAATTCTGGTCCCAACAGTTGTCGGAAGTCAAGGACTACATAATTTTCATCTATAAACATTTCATTTTTTTTAAAGAAACTGTGGGGGAAACCTATATTTCTATACAAACATCTAAATGAAATTATTAGTTTCAGTAGCAAGTTAATTTTAATTTCTTTTAGGTATGAAGAATTATTTGGCTCCTTGTCCAACTATAATATTTGTGTGACCAACGCAATGAAAGAGGATCTTCAAATGAACTGTAACATCAGGTACTTCAGTAGTTTAAAATTACTTTAGTTATGACATTGCTGTCAACTTATCTGATCCTTTTAATTACAGAGGGTATTTTGTATTTTTTTTTTAAAAAAAAAATACTTTTCAATATCTAATCTAAACCATTTTTAAAAATGCTGCTCAAAATCTAAACTATTTTCACCACTGTCTTCTTGTAATAAATGGCTGGATCTATAAACATTTAAGCAGACACATCAACTCCAAGGAAGATTCCCTGTTTTTTAAGCTTAAGCTTTTCCCATTACACCTCAAAGGAGTGATTTCTGGTTTCTAGAATTATTAGTATTTTGTTCAGCAGGGTAAACAGATGTAAATTAAAGACGTATGAATTCTTCCAAGTAGATAAGATATATTTCTGAATGTATATCTTTATGACATATGTATTTCTTTGGTCTTAGTATCTTAGTCAAATATTCTGAGCATTGTTTTTATTTTTAAAAAAGAGTACGTAGATCAGTGTAAGTGGTCATTGAGAACAGTGTCATGCAATGCACAAATATTTCATTCTGGATATTTGTGAAGGGCCTGCATCTCTCCAGCCTCTATGATCCCTGAATCAATGTTTATGGCTGGTCCTCTACAAACTGCATGGAGTCACTGTATGCAGTCTACAACTTTAATAAACAAATAAAGTAAACATTCAAGTACGTCAACTTGCAAATATGATGCCTGGGCATTCTTTAGCTGTTTCATAATATATATCTTCTCGCCCAGGAAATCTCCTAGCTCACCTATCTCATTTTACATATGACTTTTACATTTTCGATGAAGTTGAAATTATTCTTTTTGTCCCCTTAAAACTCTCTTCAAGTTTTATTGATATGATTTAACCATTAAAACCTGTTGCGTTCTAGAGCAATAACCCTGTACGACAAGCCAGCATCTTTCTTTAAGGAAACACCCCTGAGCCAACAGCACAAATTGTTCATCAGGCTCTCCGAAGACTATGCTCCTTTTAAAGCGTGAGTTAAAACCTGTTCCGTTTGTACTCTCTTAAATGAAAAAAACAGGCCTCATTTGAAACCTGTCTCTGCTTCTAAGTATTGTGCCTTCTTAAATATTGTGGCATGTTTACAGGTAGTCCTCCACTTATGACCACAGTTGAGACTGGAACTTTCATTGCTAAGCGGCCCTTAAATGAATGATCATGTGACTGCACCTATTTTTTTGATTTTTTCTTTTTTGCTGTTAAGCAAAATTACGTGGTTATTAAGTGAATTTGACTTCCCCCAGTCACTTTGCTTGTTGGAAGTCAGCTGGGAAGATCACATAAGAACGCCAGAGCACTGCTACCATCGTAAACGCATGCCAGTTGCCAAGCACCCAAATCATGATAATTTGATAGTGGGGATGCTGCGACGGTTGTAAGTGCGCGGACCGGTTGGCGGTAAGTCACTTTTTTCAGCTCTGCCATAACTTCGAATGGTTTCCAAGGGAGTGGTCATAAGCTGAGGACTCTCCGTATCTGCAGTGCCTCATTTAAAGCTATTGGATCTTGGATATTAGAGCCCTGGTGGCGCAGTGGTTAGAATGCAGGCTTGCAGGCAAACTCTGCCCACTGCCAGGATTTTGATTCTGGTCGGCTCAAGGTTGACTCAGCCTTCCATCCTGAGGTTGGTAAAACGAGGACCCAGATTGTTGGGGGCAAATATGCTGACTCTGTAAACTGCTCAGAGAGGGCTATAAAAGCACGGTGGACTGGTATATTAGACTAAGTGCTATGGCCCTTCCTTCCCTCCCACCCTCCTGCCTCCCTGCCTCCCTCCCTCCTTCCTTCCCCCCCTCCCCCCCTCCTTCCTTCCTTCCTTCCTTCCTTCCCAGTGGTTAGAATGCAGCATTACAGGCTGACTCTGCCCACAGTCAGAAGTTCGATCATGACTGGCTCAAGGATGACTCAGCCTTCCATCCTTCTGAGATTGTTGGGGACAATAGGCTGACTCTGTAAACTGCTTAGAGAGGAGTGTAAAGCAGTGTGAAGTGGTATATAAGTGCTATTGCTACCCATAGGTAACAAAAGGATGCAAACAATTTGGTCCTTTGTAAAACTGGAATGCACACGGGGAGTGATTGCCAATTAATGGATGGCTCCTCCTTTCCATATGAACATTCATCTCTGCCTGATATCCACTCCATTAACAAATTAATAAGCTTGAAACCCCGACTCTCAGATGGTGTCATAGGTGTGTTAATCTACAGTAGCCAAAAGTCAGGATTATTATCTGAATCTCCCAAATGGTTCATTCAGTAAATCGGCTAAGGTTGCTATGTGGAAGGGCTCTGTTGCCTCATTGACTATCCTGAGAGTTGTGTGTTTTGTACAGAGGTGCGTGTCTATGTGTGCATTTGCTAAGAACATCCCCTGGCTAATTTTTGTGTTCTCAGGGTGGAATCCTTCCCTCCAGATCATGTTGAAAGATCTGCCTTTACCCAGTTTGATGCCATCAGTGGAAGTGCCACACACCGTCCAGGCCGACCAGCTCTCCTTATTAGCAGCACCAGTTGGACAGGTTTGACTCTATATCTTGTCATTGAAGTAAGCCATGCTTAGTTAAATAAAGCACACTTAGCTGAATGTTCACAACATGCTAGATTCCAACCCAATATAACCCAACCCAATCCAATATAACCCAACCTAACCCAATATAACCCAACCCAATATAACCCAACTCGATATAACCCAACCCAATATAACCCGACCCAACCCAATATAACCCAACCCAACCCAATATAACCCAATCCAATATAACCCAACCGAATATGACTCAACCCAATATAACCCAACCGAATATGACCCAACCCAATATAACCCAACCCAGTATAACCCAACCCAACTCGATATAACCCAACCCAATTTAACCCAACCCAATATAACCCAACCCAACCCAATATAACCCAACCCAACCCAATATAACCCAACTCAACCCAATATAATCCAAACCAAGCCAACCTCACTGTGGATTAGGATAGTGTATGGCTCCAGGTGTAATCTTTGAAAGAGTCTGCATGTTCATCTCAGAGGTTTGTGATGATTCTGGACCATTCTGCTCTCTGTGGCAAGAGGAATTAAAAATAAGCTTTATGATTGCCTTCCATCCCCTCTTGGCTTAGCTGGCATGCAAGTAGAATGATCAAATAGAAACTTAATTATCATAGGGTTCATATAGCCATTGCTGAGATTGCTTGGCTGTGTTGTCCATGTATATTTCAAGATTGCAATGTAAATTTAACAATTTGTAGTTTAAAATTTTGTTATTGCTCTGTGACTTGATCCACGGCTGTCTGAGTTGTTCTGAATTGACATCCACAAGAAGACAGTTCCTCTCTCATATACATCCGTCATACACACTCAAAAACCAACAACTTTGCTTGGTGGATTTTAATCCCTATCTAGAGATGAGAATTGAGCATGATTTGAATTTCCAGGCTGGTGTAGATGTCCTCAAATACCAGATTGTCTCATCAAATTTGAATGTGGTTCTTATTTTCTGGCTCAAGATTTGTTAGCAGAGCTGGCCTTTTCTCCATGTAGATGTAGGATTAATTAATTAATTACATTTAGAACATTTCCGTTTGATGGGAGGTGAATTTGTTCTTCCTTGGGCCTCATAACTAAAATGGGACACCAACCAGTTGCTCTTAAGATATAATATGTATAGATGAACTTTCTCCAGTTGGTAGTCTCCATACGCTTTGGGATTATCATCACCAACTTTTTCAGCCAGCCTAATGAAATTGAATTTATAACCATGATATTTGTGTAATAATTTCTTGTTCTTTTCTTTTTCTAGAGGATGAAGATTTTTCCATCCTGTTAGAAGCTTTAAAAGGTGAGCTGTCAAGAAAGCTTTTAGAGTTTCTTAAAAGCCAGCCATCTTCACGGTGAATCAACTAGTGATTTCTCCTTCGCTGCTCTGCCTGGAAGAGATCAGGTTAAG